AAATTAAAAAATTTTAAAAAATTAAAAAAAAACAACCTGAAGGATCCGAAGTAGCAGAGTGGAATTTCCGTCCCCACAGGAAAGTAAAAGGAGGTTTCCGAGGGGCTCACCTCAGGCTGGCACCCACAGGGCCTGAGTCCCTGTGTGGGATGATCAGCAGGATCCTCACCTGGAGCCAGTCTGGGACAGCACAGTTTCCAGGGCTGTCGGGATGTCCAGTCCTGACCAAGGCTCCAGGTTCCAGCTTCCAAGTCCATCCTGCAGCTCTGTTGACATCTTGCCCTGGACCCTGACACCCAGGGTGGAGAAGACACCCGCCCCCAGCTCCAGAGATCCCCTCCTCTCAGCCCTAGGCCTCTTACAAGCTGCTTCCTTCCTTGAGGTCTTAAAATCCTCCACGTGGTCGTAGTCATCATCGTCATTGTCGCAGCTAACATGAATTGACCCTTTGCTTCGGGCATGGTCCTTAGCACTTTACATAACAACCCCATGAGGTCAACCACTTGGTATCTCAGAGGCCCTGACTAAGGCACAGAGCTTAAGCCATGTGCACGAGGTGACCGCCAAAAGTTTATATGTTAGAAATTGGCTGAACCGTGAAGTTATTTAAAGGAAATTTAACCCAGCTATAAAATTAGGAGGTAGCCCCTTTGCGAGGTGATTAGGATTAGACAGGGTTATCAAGGTGGGCCACCGCTACCTCACCACTGGTAGGTTTATAAGAAGAGGAAGTGAGACCAGAGCAGACACGCACAGGTGGTCCTGCCCCCCACAGGGAAGAAGACCCTTCCCAGACATCGGCACTCTGCTCTTGGATGTCTCAGCATCCAAAACTCATGGAAAATAAACCAATACCCTCCTGGTACTGCTGTTACGAGCAACAGAATGGACTAGAACAACAGCTTCTTTTTAAAAAGGTTTTTACCATAAGGTGTGTGCACTCACCAGAGAGACAGTGAGAAGGAAAGTAAAAAATCACCCCTCCTCGTGCGAGGCCACACTGCAATCTCTCCTCTTCCATTCTCCTGGGATATTAGGGCACGCATGCATACCAGCCTAGCATAAATTTCAAGCCACCAGATCTGGGACTCGAACTGTAGTTGGCCATGTGGGAGTCCAGTGCCTTAATCATCATGCCACCTGCTGGTTCCGCACAACATCTCTTACTTAGAGGAGGGTGAGTGGAATCTAGGCAACCTGACTCCAGTGCCTGTGCTCTTCTAAACCACCACCCATACCACTTCAGGCCCCAGGATGGGGGAGCAGAAAGAACAGGCTTGGCAGTCTGGCAGGTGGCTCAACCATTTACTGCTACTTATCCCTGGATGACCTGTTTAACCTACTTAGCCTCAGACTCTCAGTTTTCCTTTACTTAAAATAGGTACAAGAACCACACTCTATGGAGCTGTGTCCATTACCTAAGACAGAGCAGGCTCTCCATTACATCCTTCCGCCCGTCTCCACTTCAGCGCCCTTTCCTGTTCGATCTGTCTGCCGCACATTCATTAGACATTAAGGCTGCTTCTGCACACCTTGAGCCAAGTTTGGCTTATTTATTTATTTATTTTTAAAGAGAGATTTTTGCCATAGGGGGCATGCATTTGTCTGAGAGACAGAGAGAGGGAAAGTGAGAAATCAACCCCCAGGGAGATGGCCACACTGCAATCCTTTCTCCTCCATTCTCCTCTTAGGACTTTGGTCAAACATGCAAGGAGCCTGGCTTGCGTTCTAACCCACTGGGTCTGGGACTGGAATTGCACTTGGCCATGTGGGAGTCCAGTGCCTTAACCACTACGCCACCTGCTGGCCCCAGTTTGGCTTCTCGTGTTCTGTTTCAACCTATTCTTTTTTTTTTTTAAACCACTTAACTGTATTTTTTTTTTACATTTTTTATTTCATTTTCTCTTTTATATTCAATCATTACATTTAGCTTAAAAACTGAATATTTTAACATGTGAACATTTCTCCGTTGTCCAGTTGATAAAACTATAAAATTATCTTCAACAGATAATACCACATGTCTTTGTCCCATTAATGCGTTGTCTCGCTATTTTTCTTCTAAATGTCCTTCCTCAGACTCTACTCTTTCACACACACTATACCTGGCATTTATATTTACTGTGTTTCTGTATCCTTTAACCACTCTGTGCCTAGCATGAGTGGGCTAGAGCTCAGGGAAGGAGCCTGAAGGCGGAAATCCATCCACAGTGGGCTGTGGAGCAGGGCTGGGAGGAGCCGGCCCTGAGAAACCTGCTTTAAGGAAGCAGGAGCTCTTCTCTCCAGCTCAGCTCCCTCCTGCTGGCCTCCTGCCAGGGCTAACAGAAGGCTTCTTGTTACTTCCTATTGCAAAGCGTGCACCCTGCAGAGGACCACTGAGGGCCTCATCCTTCCAGGGTGGGGAGCCTCTGGCTCTCAGCTCACAAGGCACATAGACATACCCAGAGCTCGGCAACTGGGCCACCTTTCCTGGCTCCATAAGCCAGGCACTGGGGACAAAATGCCAAATAACCCTCTCACCAGCACGCCCTGTCTTCCCTGCTCCTGATGACCTCCTGACTGGGTAATGGTGGGTACAGCTTTCCAGAATATCACCATTGCTCTTTCCCAACAAAGAAAATACTTCACTCTCCCTGCCCTCAACCCTGATCAAGGGAGATGGGAAACAAACTCTCTGTTAGGTCAAAAAAGACACGAAGTATTTGTTTCTATGTAGAAATGTGTCATGACTTTTCCAACAATCCAATACACACAAACACTGCACACACACACACTGCACACACACACACTGCACATATCCCCGCTCATGTTCACAACAGGCTGCAAGGTAGAATCCTGCCCACTGCAGAGATGGAGGGAAACACGGAACCTCGCACATCCACAGAGCGGGCTGAAGCCAGGCTGCCAATCTGCAGAGCTGCTGCTCTCTGCAGCCCCAAGCTCTATCACTGCAGCCTGCTGTGCTGCTATGCCCCCTCCTTCAGCTAGCCATTGTCCTTTCATGCATTTAGAGTCCCTGCCATCTTCCGGCTTGGGCTGGTCTCAGAGAAAGGCAAGCTCTCCCAGCCCAGTACCAGCAGCAGCAGCAGCAGCAGCACTAAGAACATCCTAGGCACTGCCTTTGGTTATTCATTAAGTTGGTCAATTACACCAGGCTGGAGCAGTTCCAGTGTGGAGGAGCTGGGACTGTTGCAAAGCATGCAGTTTGCTGTTACATGTTCTAGTTCCCTCTCGGTTTCTGGCCACTTTTGCACCCTGACCCCTTGGCTGGCTAGCAGTTTCCCTCCTCGGCTGCCCTTAGCTCTGTTTCTGTATGTCACATTTGGACTTGCAAAGGACTGCTTCAAACCACCAACGCAGCTGAGCCAGTCTATCTTGAACTAGAAAAGAGCATTTGAGAGCCAGGCGTTGTTCTGGGTGCCGTGAATAGGCACGAGAGGAAGACACAAAGGTCTTACCTCTCAGTTTAGAGTCGGTGGGACCAGAAGAGGGTGTAATGGTTACGTCACTGGACTCCCAAAGAGCTGACCATGTTTTGAGTCACAGACGCAGCGGCTTAAAACTCATGCATGGTGCATGTGCATGCATGCCCAAAATCCCAAGGGGAGAATGGAGGAGAGGGGATTGAGGCATGGCCATCCCCTCTGGGAGGTTATACCTCTCCGAAGAGTATATGTACCCTATAGCAAAAATCTCTCTTTAAAAAAAGGAAAGAAAGAAGTTTAGAGTGAGGCTGGAAGAGAAAAGTCGACAGAAAGAGAAATCACTGACACAAGGCAGGTAGTGACAGGGTTGGGACAAGGGGCCTAAAATACCAAAGCTGGAGGGAAACTTGGATCTACGTTTAACTCTCCAGTTTACAGATGGGGGAACTAAAGCCCTACGGAGGGCAGTTACTTGAGCATCAGGTGATCAGAACACTCCTGAAGACTTACTAAGAGCCGAGCACCATTCCAGTGCTTTGTGAATAATCACTCACTTAATCCTCATGACAACTCTATGCCCTCCCCATTTTAAAAATGAGGAAAATGAGGCAGAGAGGGGTTAGACACTGTCCAAGGTCACAGGCTTGCAAGAAGAAGCCAGTATTGAACTCGTGTGGTCTGGGTTCCATGGTAGTCTCTGTAACGTACTGTAAGAGGGAGACTGAGTGTGCCTGTGGGAGTAAAGAGCACATTCCTTAAATGAATTACTAACAGGTCTATATATGAAAACAATAAACAATAAATGTCCAAAGTCAACTAAAAGGAAGTCTCAAATAACCAGAGGTTTGAGTCCAACTGGGCATTCC